AAAAAAAAAAAAAAGAAATACTTCAAAATACACATTTTGGATACGTAACAATATAAAAACTTACCAAATTTTCGACTAAAGAGGTCATTGACTTGTTCTCTTAGTTGTTTTATCTTTTCAATGCTGGATAATCGGTCCTTCTCATTATCTAAAAATAATTAGACAATCAAGGAAACAAGGGTTACTGATGTATTTATTCACCCCCATGAAAGCTGTTGGAGGAAGTGCCTGATGGCACATGATAAAAAACACTTTACCTGGCTTATCATTCAATTTAGCTTTAGCAATAATTAAACATTTTGGAAATGCTACAGATGATAGAGAATTTGCCAAATTATAACTCCATGTAAACACACTCCATACTACTTTAGGTTCGGAACATTTTCAACATCGTGCAAGACAGGGATGTCCACTTTCACCTCTACTCTTCAACATTAGCAATCCTAGCCAATGCAATATGACAAGTAAAAGGAAGAAGATGTAGTAGGATTAGAAAGAAATTACATGGTTCAAAATTCATGAGACACAGAATAATGTACAATGAAACATCTCTCTCCCATCCCTCTCTTCAGTCTGTTTCTTTCCTTGGAGAAACTAGGTTATTAGATTCTTTTGCATCTCTCCAGATAGACCTTACAAATATGTATTCAGAAGAGATTGCTTGGCAGGCAGCAGATAAATTTCACCTCTATGGCCAATTCTAATTTAACGGTAGCTGGTGGTTGGAGTTGCCTGCCCTGGCGGGTATTTTCCAGGTAATTCCAGGGCATGGCTGTGAAAAGAAACAGATCTGATGATGTCTGATATGAGCGAGATATGCAGTGTGTGACAATCTGTAGCGTATTTTTAATTCCTGAATTGTCATTGCTTAGCTGATAGGGTGAAGCAAAATATAATAAATAAATAAATAAATAGATAAATACCAGCTCTGAGGGACTAACCCGTGTCACAAAATGGTTAAAACAGAACAAAAGGAGGGTGCCTGAGTGGCTCAGTCAGTTAAGCATCTGACTTGGGCTCAGGTCATGATCTCGTAGCTCGTGGGTTTGAGCCCCTGCGTCGGACTCTGCTGACAGCTCAGAGCCTGGAGCCTGCTTTGGATTCTGTGTCTCCCTCTCTCTCTGCCCCATCCCCGCTCATGCTGTGTCTCTCTCTGTCTCTCAAAAACAAAACAAAACAAAATTTAAAAAAATAGAACAAAAGGAAACATAGAAAATAAATAATGATAAAGCCAGATAAGCTTCCATACCTGGAATTGTCACCTGAACGATGTTAAGATCTTCAACACCCACCGCAGAACGTGTAATACCCGAGGCAGTTGTCCTTCCTAAAAGTAGAAACTGAAATTTAGAACTCGAAGAAAATTAGGTCAATTCTCCTCTAAAAATGCCAAGGTGCTACTTTGGTCAGAAGCACAGATTCGATTTTTAAAGCTTTGGAGAACAATTAGCTGCGGGATAACAAGGCGCCACAGCATAACTGATAGTTGGGTCTCTGCAGTTCAGTGTCAAGGTCACAGGGGAAAGAGCCTAACTTTTTATTTAGTTCATAGCCTCTAATGCATCAGTTGGTATAATTTAACTTCAAAGGGATGTTTAAACGTGTATTTTCTTTGTTGTTACTCAGTTTAAAGGAGGGGGAGAGGGAGGGGAAATAGAACATAAATGGCCAAGAGGACATTTAAGAAGCACACGTCCTCTGAAAAACGATTTAACAGGCAGTCAAGGAAAGGCTCAGACAGGGTTAAAAAACAAAAGCAGAGTGGACATTATCACGTTTTCTGGTCAAACGACAAACACAAGTGAAGTTACATGTGGGAAATGTAAAGGAACTTTCTAGTCCCTTGAGAACTTAAAGCTCGATCCATGTGTTCTGTGAACGATCATCATCTGGCGTCTGGCTTTCTTTTTTTTTTTTTTAATTTTAATTTTTTTGCTGTTATTTTTTGAGAGAGAGAGAGAGAGAGAGAGAGCAAGCTGGGGAGGAAGAGAGACAGGGAGACACAGAATCCGAAATCCAAACCAGGCTCCAGGCTCCGAGCTGTCAGCATAGAGCCCAATGCGGGGCTTGAACTCACGAACCGTGAGATGGTGACCTGAGCTGAAGTCAGACGCTCAACCAGCTGAGCCACCAGGCGCCCCACTGTTTTCTGCATCTAAAGAGCAAGACCTCAAAGGGACACGAGCCACATTGTCAACAAAAGCCATTAGGTTGTCCTGCAGTGTTCCGGGGCTGCTTCAAACACAGAATTTGGGGAGGAAATGTGGCAAAGTTTGCAAGTCTTAACCCCAAAATGACTCATTTTTCTGGTAAATCTAGTAGGTCCTGGAAAGCCCGATCCTTAACAACCTGGTTGAACATTAAGAGCTTACTGAAACTACTGTCAGTTTCCATCATCAACTTGAAGTAAGAAAAACCTTCCCAGGGCACCTGGGTGGCTTAGTCAGTTGAGCGGCTGAGTCTTGATTTCAGCTCAGGTCGTGATCCCGGGGTTGTGGGATCGAGCCCTGCGTCGGGCTCCATGCTGAATGTGGAGCTTGCTTGGGATTCTCTCTCTCTCTTTCTCTCTCTCTGTCTCCCCCCCCGCCCCCCACCTCCACCTCCCCCCTCCTCCCCACTGCCTCTCAAATTAAAAAGCAAACACACAAACAAAAAATCTTTCAGGGCACTTTACACCATCGAGCCTCCAAAAAGCCCAGAACTAATTTGGGTCACCAGACTCAATTAAGAAACAGTGTCAGAAGATAAGGCATTATGATCTGATAAAGTACTAATGTTTTACCCTTAAACCTGACTCCTCCAAGGGCACCTGGCTGGCTGTCAGAGGAGGGGTGTGATTCTTGATCTTGGGGTCATGGGTTTGAGCCCCATGCTGGGTGTGGAGATTACTTAAAAAACCCAAATAAACTTAAAAATAAAGATAAAACTGACTCTTCAACATGTAAAATCTGTCATAAAACATACCAAGCACGATTTGCAAACTAATCAAAATCCGATTGTAATTAATGCATAAATTGGCAGTTAACCCATTTTGATGGCCCCGCACATTTCAAATAAATGGATGGTATTTTCACGAATGGGTGTAAACCTTAACTCTCCTAAAACTATCTCTGTACATAAACGAGTCTTTCTTAGTTACTGCTCAACTGTAAGTTAGTTTAAAGGTGCTCACCCAGGGGCGCCTGGGTGGCTCGGTCGGTTAAGTGTCCGACTTCAGCTCAGGTCATGATCTCATGGTTCAGTTCGTGGGTTCGAGCCCTGTGTTGGGCTCTGTGCTGACAGCTTGGAGCCTGGAGCCTGCTTCAGAGTCTGTGTCTTCCTCTCTCTCTGCCCCTCCCC